TAATAAGAAGGGAGTTCGTCAGGGTTGTGTCCTTTCCCCATACTTATTCAATCTATTTGCTGAAACAAATAATCCAAGAAACTGGACTACATGAAGAAGAACGTGGTATTAAGATTGGGGGAAGAATCATTAACAACCTGCAATACACTGACGACAGAACTTTGCTTGCTGTAAGTGAGGATGAGTTGAGCCACTTACTGATAAAGATTGAAGAATACAGTCTGCAGTATGGATTACTTCTCGATATAAAGAAAACAAAAATCCTCACAACTGCACCTATGAGCAACATCACGATAAATGGAGAAAAGATTGAAGTCGTTGAAGACTTCACATTGCTTGGTTCTACAATCAACACCAATGGAAGCAGCAGTCAGGACATTAGATGACATATAGCACTGGGTGAGTTGTTTGCAAAGGACCTCTTTCAAGTGCTGAAGAGCAAAGATGTCTCCTTGAGGACTAAGGTGCCCCTGACATAAGCCATGGCATTTTCAGTTGCCTCATATGCATGTAAGAGATGGACAGTGAATAAGTAAGACTGAAGAAGAATTGATGCTTTTGAGTTGTGGTGCTTACGAAGAATGCTGGAAGTACTGTGGATTGTGAAAAGAAATAACAGGTCTGTCCTGGAGGAAGTGTAGCCAAAATGCTCCTTGAAAGCCAGAATGGCCAGACTTCATCTCATCTACTTTGGTCATTTTATCAGAAGGGACTATTCCCTGGAGAAGGATGTCATGCTTGCTAAGGTGGAAGGTCAACGAAAGAGGGAAAGGCCCTCAACAAGATAGATTGACACAGTGGCCGTGACAATGGGCTCAACTATATCAAGGATCACAGAGCTGGTATGAGAACAGGCACTGTTTCATTCTGCTGTGCATAGGGTTGGTATGAGTTGGAAACAACTTGATAGCACCTAACAACAACATCCTCCTTTGGTGAGTTGTGACTGGGATCTTAAAAGCTTTTGAGTGGTCATCTAAAATTCAACTATTGGTCTCTCCTTGTCTGGAGCAAAGAAGAGTGAAGAAAATCAAAGTCATGTGGAAACAATTAGTCCAAGGATATAATGGACCATGGAGACCTCAGCCTTCATGACCCTGAGACCAGAAGATCTAGATGGTGCCTAGCTACCAATGCCAACCACTCAGAAGAGGATCAGAGGTGGAGATCCTGGATAGAATGTGAGGAAAATGTGGAACAGAATTCAAAAACACAATAATGATCAGAATTACTGGTCAAATAGAGAGCAGGAATGCATAGATACAGGGAGGCAATGGGAGGAGAGCTTTTTATTGTTAGGATTATAATCGGACTGGGAAACCAAGTGTGCATGAATTGTTCAGTAAAATGAATCTTTGTAAATTTGCACCCAGATCACAGTAAAAAAGTAAAGAAAAAAAAATTTCAAACTCAACAAAAAGGAAAAAAAATTCAAATAAAAGTAAGACGCCATTCCCGCCCCCCCCATAAAACTTAGTACATAACAACAACAGCAAATCAATAAAACACTGACACAGAACTCACTATGTTGCAGCACTGGTCTAAGTACTTATATTAACTAATCCTCCCAACAGTTCTGTAAGTACATGCTGCTGGTATCATTTTATAAAGAACAAGCCCAAACACAAAACAAACCCATTGTTGTTGAGTCCATTCTGACAAAGTTTGGTGCAAAAAGATTGGTAACATGTTCAAGATCATATAGCATATAAGTAATGAACCCAGGATTTAAACCTAGGCTCTTTGATCCTTAGATTTTAGTGTTCTTTACTACCCTCTATTGCAGGAGCTCTGGTAGCATAGTGCCTAAGGCACTTGACTGCTAACCAGAAGGCTGGCAGTTCAAACCCACCAGCCACTCCTCGGAAGGAAGGTTGGGCATTCCTACTTCCGTAGTGATACTGCCTCGGAAACCCAAGGAGGGGTCGCTGTGAGTCGGGGCCGACTCGATGGCAAATAACAACAACAACATTGCCTCTCAAAGATTTTAATAAAATATGACCAGTCCTAATAAGGGGGTACATAGGAGCAGAAGCTTTTTTATACTTTTGGTAAGAATATACATTAGTAGACATTTCTATAAGATAGTTAAGCAATATGTTTGAAAAGTTTTAACATGTGTATCCTTTGAACTTGGAATTATTACTATGGAAATTCTTATAAGTACATAAAAATATATGGGCAGAAAATTTTATCTTAAATTTTATAATAAATGTTGTAAACAATTTGAATGTCTAATAGAGGATTGTTAAACAAGTTTGGGAAAGAGTGTCTTTAAATTTCCATTCTTACTGGAGACAGTAAAGTAAATGCTAAACCAAAACAAAACCTAACTCACTGTCTTCGAGTCAATTCTGACTCATTGTGATCCCCTTTGGGTTTCCTAAGTGGTAAGTATTTATGGAAGTAGATTGCCCAGCCTTCCTTCTGAGGAGTGGCTGGTAGGTTTGAACTGCCAGCCTTCTGGTTAGCAGTCAGATGCCTTAGGCACTGCACCACGAGAGCTCTTTAAAGTAATGCTAGGAAATAGTTTATGTAGGAAAAAGTTTGCTTCTTTCTATGTATTCACAGAGTACACTGCATTTGGCTTTCCAAAGCATTCTTATAAAATTGAATTGATACTGTTTAATTTTCTTTTTTTAGCTTGACTAGGTTACATGAGAGGAATTGTGATAAAGCGTAACTTTCAGGAAAGATTTTAAATATCCTTTAAGTTAGAAAATTACTAAGGAATTAGAATTAGAATTAAATGTTATAATATTCTATTATTATGTTGTAATAGAAGACACCCTTTATTTAACTGTTATCTTTTTATATCTAGCACTTCTGTAAGGATGCCTTAGAATCCTTACAGAATAAGAACCATGGAGAAGTACGTTAGACTACAAAAGATTGGAGAAGGTTCCTTTGGAAAAGCCGTTCTTGTTAAATCTAAAGAAGATGATAGACAGTATGTTATCAAGGAAATTAACATCTCAAGTGTAAGTTTTCATTCTTTTTTTTTTGATATGCTTTCTCTCTTCTGTGAGTTTTTTTCCTCCTAATCATCACACTCAGATGTTTGCTTCATATTTTTAGCCTGGATATGCAAGTAAGCATCTGGCTAAAATAGGGCCTATTGTTAAAAAAAAAAAAAAAAAAAAAAAAGCAATGTATAACTTAAACTGAAAGATCACCATAATCCTACAGAGAACCACTAATTTCATATATTTCATATATTTTCTATGATGTGTGCTTGTGTGTATGTATTTACAAAAATAAATACCTGCTGTTCTGTATCAATGTAGTTTGAACATTTAAAAATGTTTATACTTACAGATGCAACTCATTCTTTTTAACTTCTTGTTTTATTTTGTTGTTTGGATTGTACTTATTGGTATCAGTATTTACTTAGCCATTCCCTTATGGATGGACTTTTAAGTTGTTTTTTGATTGTTTAATTTAATATCTTTTTTTCCTCCCATTTAAGATGTCCAATAAAGAAAGAAAAGAATCAAGGAGAGAAGTTGCAGTGTTGGCAAACATGAAGCATCCAAATATTGTCCAGTATAGAGAATCATTTGAAGGTCAGATAAATTTTACAAGAGAGTTCAAAAGAATTCTTAAGCCCTTAAACCAGCCATATAATTTGATTATATTCTCAGGAAGAGTATCATTTTGCTTCAGTATCATATGTGATGGCCATCAGCTGAATTCTAGGATAATACTGACACCACACTATCCCTGTGAAGTTTAAGACCAGCTTACTGTACTATGATTGCTTAACAGCAAGCAGTGTGGGAAGTGAAAGAATAGGGACAAAGCAAGAAAGGTATGTCTTTTTAAACTCCAGGTGCTACCACACTGAGAAAATAATTCTGATCTCCAGAAAGTGTCCTACCTATTAGTGTACCCCTGTACCTCATTCTTATGTTACTGAAGTATACTAAAAATGTTCTCAGGTTCTTAAAATGTTATAACTACAAGTGCTTTTTTAGAAGTATATTCCATTGTATTCAGTAATGAAGGGATTAAGATAGCCAAACTTCTTTAAAGGCAGATAAGAGTGGTTTATTAAAGTCTTATCCAAATATCAGTCCAATAATTACCATAAATCTCTATAATTTATAAAGTAGAAAGTTACTCTAGATCAAAAGTAAAAGACAGTTTAAGTGACTGTTTCAGGGTCACAGCACAGATCTGTTTCATAGTCTGAATTAGAGCCAAGGTGTCTGTTTCCAGATGAATTCAGTGTCTACTTAAGTAGAACACACTCACACACAAACACACACATTTCAGGTAAGGAGTTATGTTACAAGGTACTCTGTTTATTTTCATATTGGCAGTGAAATGAAGATTTATGTCACATGAACTAGAATACAATTTTAAGTAACTTTTCTATCCCAGGACTTTGAATTTCCTTTATCTTTCCCCTAATGTCTATTCTTCAGTTTTTTGTTTAACTTTTTCATCACCAAGATTTTAATATTTCAAGTTTAAAAGTTTTCGATGCATGTTGACAAATACTACAACAGATTTGTGTTTTTGTTCAGTGTTGTACTTTGAACATAGAGACATCTAAATGACTGAAAAGGGGTGGCACATTCTTTTAATAAGGTTTTATTATTACTACTACTTAATTTTAAAGGAATATGTGCCATGATAAACATAGAAAGTATAGACATTATGAACTAAAAGTTAAGTTCTCTGTTCCTTCTCATTACACTCTCATTCCCACCCCATAGGGATATAAGCATTGTTAGCAATTTGGTATTTATGTATTACGTATGTTTTGGTTACCTTGTGCTGCTCTGACAGGAATACCAGAAATGGGATGGCTTTAACAAACATAAGTATATTCTTACAATTTGGAGGCATTAAGTCTGAGTTCAGAGTGCCAGGCTCTAGGGTCTGGGTTAAAGCCCTTCAACCTTGGGCTTCAGCTCTGCCTCTTGTTCCTGGCCCATGGAAGCTGGAGGCTTTTCTTCACTCAGCTACTGGCTGCTGAGGCTAACAAGCCCAGGGTCAACAAATATAATGGCAGAGTCCCAGTGTTACCAAACTACATGGCAGGCCATTAATTCAAGTCCATTGAAAGTCCCAAGGTCAGCAGAGCATGGCAGGCTGCTGAACAATGACATGGCTACATACAGGGTTCAAGCATGCCACAAATTAGAGACTGTTCCCCAAGGCTTCTCCTTATATATGGAAAGCAGACCACATCCCTAAGGCAGCTACTCAGTTCCTACTGTTTGCAGTAGATTCCACTCTCATCATGGGGAATACTATATCCAGCTGCCCAGCCACTTAACCAGGCCCAGCCAAGTTGACACACAAATTAACTACCACACTGTATTTTCTATACCTATATGAAACAAACATATGTAACTATTTAAATTTAAAAGCAAATGGCATTATATGTAATTTTATGTTTTTTCTTTTCACTTTTTACTTACATCTCATGGACTGCTTTGTCATCTATTATACACATCATTTTTATAGCAGTTTTGTAGCTACAGTGTATCCCACAGTACGTATTGCATGACGTTATCACAATTTGCTTGGCTAGTTTTCTGTTATGCTCATTTAACTTGTTTTTAGTTTTCCCACTAAATGTTATAGATAATGTTTTACTAAATATCTTCATACAGGTGTCTTTGTCTATTTCAGCAGTATCTCTGTAGAATGGAATAGTTAGATTGAAGGCATACTTAATAGTTCAGCCTGTCTACCCATCTGTCCATCTGTATACCCATGTTTGCCTTCACTGACAATGCAGTACTGTATGTGCATCTCATAAGATTCCAACTCTGGCTTATAAATTCATCCTAAAATTTCTGTAGTGTAACTTTATTTGGTGATACTATATTTCTGTCCCTATTTCTGCCTTATCTGAATAATCATCTCATTTTATGCCATGTCACCCTTTGAATTTCTCTTCAGTTTCCCATAGAGCTTTTGGGAACTCTAAAACACAAATATTTAATTACTCCTTCCAAAACAAAACAAAACAAAACAAAAACCAAATATTTAATTACTCCTTAGAACTATTAAAAATAATTTACATACATAACATTTTTAAATTTGTCAAAGAAATAAACGAATTGGTTAAAAAATATATATCAACTTTGACAATATTTTTAATGTGTTAATGAAAGATGAGGAAAGTTAGTGTATTTTCCATTCCTCCCCACTGATTTTTGTTAATATATATGTGGTAGTGCAGCAGTTAAAGCATTCAACTGCTAACCAAAAGGTCGGTGGTTTGAACTTACCAGCCATTCCACAAGAGAAAGATGAGGCGGTCTACTTCTGTAAAGATTTGAAGCTTTGAAACTTTATGGGGGCAGTTCTATTCTGCCCTAAGGGTACTGGTTTGAGTTAGAATTAACTTGAAGGTGGGTTTTATATATGGTAAAAGTAACATTTATTTTTTTGTTCTGAAATCATACATTTTTCAGTTTAGTATTTATTTGTTGTTGCCACTCCTTGGAAGGAAGGTTGGTCAATTTACTTCTGTAGTGATTCCGCCTGGTAAACCCAAGGAGAGGTCTCTATGAGTCAGGTCTGACTTGAGGGCACATAACAACAACAACATTAGTTCTATAATTGTTGTTGTTGTTAGGTGCCCTTTGAGTCCATTTCTTACTCAAAGTAGCCCACGTAACAAAGTAAAACTATGCCGTAAGGTTTTCTTGAGTAAAATTTTTTTTTTTATTGGGATTTGGGTGAAAATTTACAGAGCAAATTCACTTTCCATACAGCAGTTCACATGCACTTTGTCTTATAACATTGACCACAATTCACCACAATGCAACAGCTCCCCTCCCACTTCCTCCCGACCATCACCTCTTCCCTGTGTCCACCCCTGCCCCATGAACTATCTCCCTATGAATAAACAGCCCTTCTTTCTCCCATGATTGTTCTCTCTAAGGAGTGTATTTACCTCAGGTAAATGTTCAACTCCTATGTCTGTCTTTTCCTTGGCTGTAAGCCACAGTGTGGGTTCAATTCCAGACATGAAGGGCAGCTAGGGGCTATGTTTCAGTGGTTCCACCAGGCTCTATCAGTCCAGCAAACCTGGTATCCTCCTCCCTTTTTTTTTCCAAATGCTTTTGAGTTTTGTTTCACATTGTTCTCCCTCTCTATTCAGGTTCTCCTACATAGATCCCCCTCCAAGTGGTTGACATTGGAAGCCGAGCACCATCTACTCCTTCTGGTCTCATAGTCGTATAGGCTGTGGATCGCATGGTGTACCAGTCGCTAGAACTAATTCTTTCCATAAATCTTTGGTTTTCTTCATTCTTATTTGCTCTGGAAGATGAGAGACCCATTGTTGCATCTAGATGGCTGCTTGCAAGCTTTTAACATCCCAGTCATACTCGCCAAATTGGGAGCTCTGGTAGCATAGTGCCTAAGGCACTTGACTGCTAACCAGAAGGCTGGCGGTTCAAACCCATCAGCCAGTCCTCGGAAGGAAGATGGGCAATCTACTTCCATAGTGATACTTCCTTGGAAACCCAAGGAGGGGTCGCTATGACTCAGGTCCGACTCGACAGCACATAACAACAACAACTCACCAGAGTAGGAGGTGGAACAATGTTTTGTGTAGTATGTTATGCCAATTCAACTTGATGTCCCCTGTGACTATGGTCCCGAGCCCACAGGTTCAACTACTCAGGCCCTCTGGGTAGCTGGCTGTGACCAAGCAGTGACTACAGCCTTGTCCCTTGTCAGCTCTACTATATACCTGGGAATTCAGATCATACAAATAACTTATAGGACCATTGTCTGCCAACCCTATACATGGTCTTGGGTACACTCCCCACTTCATAGACATACTTAATAGTTCAGCCTGTCTACCCATCTGTCCATCTGTATACCCATGTTTGCCTTCACTGACAATGCAGTACTGTATGTGCAACAGGGTTCATCTTTGTTGTCTGTACCTCCCATGTACTTCTCTCTTCTTCCTCTTCCTCAATGCCACCATGTTGATCACTTATATTTGGTACATTGCCCTCTCTTCACCCAAATCAATACTTATCTCTACCTATCTAACAGTCTTGCCTCCCCTCCCTTTCCACCCCTAATAGCCAACAAAGAAAATTTCCTTCCACAGATAAACCTTTCCTTGATTTTTACAATAATGGACTGATATGTTACTTGTCCTTATATGATTGACTTATTTCACTCAGCGTAATGTCCTCCAAGTTCATCCACGTTATGTGATGTTTCCCAGATTCTAGGCTATTCTTTAGGGTTGCATAGTATTCCGTTGTGTGTATGTACCATAGTTTGGTTATCCATTCCTCAGTTGATGGACACCTAGGTTGTTTCCAACTTTTGCTTATTGTAAATAGTGCTGCAATGAACATGGGTGTGCATATGTGTTTTTGTCATGGCTCTCACATCTTTAGGATATATACCTGGTAGTGGAATGGCTGGATCAAATGGTGTTTCTATTCCCAACTTTTGAAGGAATCGTCATACTGCTTTCCACAATGGTTGTACCATTTTACATTCCCACCAGCAGTGTATGAGAGTCCCAATCTCTCCACATCCTTGCCAGCATTTGTTATTTTCT